TTGTGGCTCCAGTCTGTGTCTGACTCCATGATTCACTCATTCACCAGCAGAACATCGACGTGTGTGTGTGTGTGTGTGTGTGTGTGTGTGTGTGTGTGTGTGTGTGTGTGTGTGTGTGTGTGTGTGTGTGTGTGTGTGTGTGTGTGTGTGTGTGTGTGTGTGTCTGTGTGTGTGTGTGTGTGTGTGTGTGTCTCGTACCAGTCTCCGTATCTCTCTCTCACAGTCTCTCTTGGTTCGGTTTAACTCCTCCTGGTGTTGGTGGTGAGCTGATCGGAGCTCGGCTGCTCTGGCCTGGCAGGCCTGTTGAGCCGCTGTCAGAGCCTCCTCGGCGCCCCTCTTTGCTCCTCGCAGCTCTTGAACTTCCTGTTGGAGGCGACAACGCTCCGCCTCCCAGCCCCGCCTCGCCTCCTCCACCTCCGCCAGCAGAGCGCTCCTCACCTGAACGAACAGAGAGGGTTCGATTATTCTGGTCTGAACGATTTTCACAGTCCCAGATTAACGTGCTTGATTTTATCGTAACTCGCCGTGACGTAACACGACCAACGACCAAAAGATGATCTCGAACAAAATCAGAAATCTGACGGTTAAAAACAGAAGAAGAAGAAAAACGAGGAAAAACAGACGATAAAGGAGAGAAGGAAGATCAGGAGGTGGATCTGTGAGGATCAGGATCCTCTCCTGTTTTTAATCCATTCAGTTTATTTGTTGAATTAAAGAATCAATTAATGTATCGATCAGTTTGGATTGGATTTGTAATTAATAAAGCTGATTATTGATTAAGGCACGTGTGTTTAACATCGATGATCGGCTGAGTGTCCTGAACACAAAAACACGAACGTGATCGACGCCGCAACGCTCAGACGGACAGACCGGTGTGTGTTCTCAGGTGTGTGTTCAGGTGTGTGTTCTCAGGTGTGTGTATTCAGGTGTGTGTTCTCAGGTGTGTGTTCTCAGGTGTGTGTTCTCAGGTGTGTGTTCTCAGGTGTGTGTTCTCAGGTGTGTGTGTTCTCAGGTGTGTATTCAGGTGTGTGTTCTCAGGTGTGTGTTCTCAGGTGTGTGTTCTCAAGTGTGTATATTCAGGTGTGTGTTCTCAAGTGTGTGTATTCAGGTGTGTATTCTCAGGTGTGTGTTCTCAGGTGTGTGTTCTCAGGTGTGTGTATTCAGGTGTGTATTCAGGTGTGTGTTCAGGTGTGTGTTCTCAGGTGTGTGTTCTCAGGTGTGTGTATTCTCAGGTGTGTATTCAGGTGTGTGTTCAGGTGTGTGTATTCTCAGGTGTGTGTTCTCAGGTGTGTTCTTCAGGTGTGTGTATTCAGGTGTGTGTTCTCAGGTGTGTGTATTCAGGTGTGTGTATTCAGGTGTGTATTCTCAGGTGTGTGTATTCAGGTGTGTATTCAGGTGTGTGTTCTCAGGTGTGTATTCAGGTGTGTATTCAGGTGTGTATTCAGGTGTGTGTTCTCAGGTGTGTGTATTCAGGTGTGTGTTCAGGTGTGTGTATTCTCAGGTGTGTGTATTCTCAGGTGTGTGTATTCAGGTGTGTATTCAGGTGTGTGTATTCAGGTGTGTGTATTCTCAGGTGTGCGGCTCGCCTTGTCCGCGGACCCGTCCCTCAGCGTCAACACGAGTCCGTTCAGTCTCTGAATCTCGCCGTCTTTGATTTTGATGACCCTCATCAGTTCCATCTCATGTTGCCGTAGTAACGTCTCCCTGGTTACGGTCAGCTCCTTCTGCTTCTCCTCGTGGAGTTTGGTCTTCAGCTCCGTCATGGCGACCGTCGCCCGGTGATGCTCTGCCTTCAGCTCCTGACTCTTCTCCCTCTCCAGGCGGCTCACCTGAGCGCAGACACACAGCTGACCTCAGATCTGCTGCAGGCGGGTTCAAGTACTCTGGGATTTGTAGTTCTTACCTTGTTCTTTTCCTGTTGTAGTTCTATTTGGATATCGGTCAGTTTGGCTCTCAGCTCCTCATTGGCTGCTTGAAGGGTTGCCATGGCATCAGGTCGCTCCCCCTTCCCCCTTGCCCCCGCCCCTCGCTTTGACATCTGCCCCACCTGTTGGATCCGCCCCTCCCGTGTCCCGCCTGTCAATCCGAAGACTGACTACACCTGGACCTGTTGGCACACACACACACACACACACAAACACACACACACACACACACACACACACACACACACACACACACACTCCTCTGATTGGCTGTAAAATGTGAACACCTTTACCTGTCCTTCAGAGTGACAGCTCAGGTTTGAGGACATTTATACACAGAAGCTGAATTGTACTGTGACACTGCCGCCATGTTGGGAAGGTCATCCTAGGAGGACGTGTGTGAACACGATAAACGCCTCCTGGCGGTTAAACCACCGCAATGATCTGATTTAATCTGATTTAGTCTCAGTGTGTTTAGATCTGATCTAAGAGTGTAGACATACACTCACCGGCCACTTTATTAGGTACACCTGTCCAACTGCTCGTTAACACTTAATTTCTAATCAGCCAATCACATGGCGGCAACTTAGTGCATTTAGGCATGTAGACATGGTCAAGACAATCTCCTGCAGTTCAAACCGAGCATCAGTATGGGGAAGAAAGGTGATTTGAGTGACTTTGAACGTGGCATGGTTGTTGGTGAAGGAAGGGCTGGTCTGAGTATTTCAGAAACTGCTGATCTACTGGGATTTTCACGCACAACCATCTCTAGGGTTTACAGAGAATGGTCCGAAAAAGAAAAAATATCCAGTGAGCGGCAGTTCTGTGGGCGGAAATGCCTTGTTGATGCCAGAGGTCAGAGGAGAATGGCCAGACTGGTTCGAGCTGATAGAAAGGCAACAGTGACTCAAATAACCACCCGTTACAACCAAGGTAGGCAGAAGAGCATCTCTGAACACACAGTACGTCGAACTTTGAGGCAGATGGGCGACAGCAGCAGAAGACCACGCCGGGTGCCACTCCTTTCAGCTAAGAACAGGAAACTGAGGCTACAATTTGCACAAGCTCATCGAAATTGGACAATAGAAGATTGGAAAAACGTTGCCTGGTCTGATGAGTCTCGATTTCTGCTGCGACATTCGGATGGTAGGGTCAGAATTTGGCGTCAACAACATGAAAGCATGGATCCATCCTGCCTTGTATCAACGGTTCAGGCTGGTGGTGGTGGTGTCATGGTGTGGGGAATATTTTCTTGGCACTCTTTGGGCCCCTTGGTACCAATTGAGCATCGTTGCAACGCCACAGCCTACCTGAGTATTGTTGCTGACCATGTCCATCCCTTTATGACCACAATGTACCCAACTTCTGATGGCTACTTTCAGCAGGATAATGCGCCATGTCATAAAGCTGGAATCATCTCAGACTGGTTTCTTGAACATGACAATGAGTTCACTGTACTCAAATGGCCTCCACAGTCACCAGATCTCAATCCAATAGAGCATCTTTGGGATGTGGTGGAACGGGAGATTCGCATCATGGATGTGCAGCCGACAAATCTGCGGCAACTGTGTGATGCCATCATGTCAATATGGACCAAGCTCTCTGAGGAATGCTTCCAGCACCTTGTTGAATCTATGCCACGAAGAATTGAGGCAGTTCTGAAGGCAAAAGGGGGTCCAACCCGTTACTAGCATGGTGTACCTAATAAAGTGGCCAGTGAGTGTAGATGTCCCCGTCTCATCTGCTGGCTGGGAGAGGAAGTGAAGCTTCTACGTTAAAACAGAAGGAAAACAGCCAATGAGACGTCTACGTTAAAACAAGACATAAACAGCCAATGAGACGTCTACGTTACAACAAGATGTAAACAGCCAATGAGACGTCTACGTTAAAACAGGAGTGAAACAGCCAATCAGCTGTCTCAGGTGAGCAGGTACTAAAGACGATCAGCAAATCAGGAAGCTGCAGGTGGAGATGAGGGGATGACATGAGGTGGTGATGGACTGCTGATCAGAGAGAATTATGGGAGTTGGAGTTCAAGTTCAAGTTATAGTCAATAGTATTATTTGTAGTTCTGGCAGTCGTAGAAGTGGTCAATAGTGGCTTTAATAGTAGTGGTCTATGGTTGTCATGGTAACTGTCTGTAGGAGTTAGTCAGTGTTGGTCTTTGTGGTTATAGTTTTAGTAAGTGTTACTTTTGTTAGAAGTTTTAGTAGTTAGTAGCAGTTTGACTAGTAAACAGAAGTTTAAGTAATTAGTGGTTAGTCAGATTTATTTATGATAATTGTGGTACTAAGAAGTAGTTAGTGTTAGTTTAAGTAGTTATTGGTAGTTTAAGTAGTTACTGTAGTTTATTAGTAATTGTAGTTTGAGTAGTAAGTGGTAGTTTTTGTAGTTATGGTAGGTTTAGTAGTTATGGTTGGTTTAGTGCAGTTGTAGTTTTACTAGTTATTGTAGTTTTAGTAGTTATGTGAGGTTTAGTAGTTAGTAGAAGTTTGAGTAGTTAGTGGTAGTTTTTGTAGTTATGGTAGGTTTAGTTGTAGTTGTAGTTTAAGTAGTTAGTGTTAGTTTTTTTAGTTATGGTAGGTTTAGTTGTAGTTGTAGTTTTAGTAGTTAGTTGTAGTTTAAGTAGTTAGTGGTAGTTGTAGTAGTAGTAGTTGCAGTTTTAGTAGTTAGTTATAGTTTTATGAGTTAGCGGTAGTTTTAGTAGTTAGTTGTAGTTGTAGTAGTTAGTTGTAGTTTTTGTAGTTATGGTAGGTTTAGTTGTAGTTGTAGTTTTAGTAGTTAGTGTTAGTTGTAGTAGTAAGTGTTAGTTGTAGTAGTTATGGTAGGTTTAGTAGTAGTTGTAGTTTTAGTAGTAAGTGGCAGTTTTAGTAGTTATGGTAGGTTTAGTAGTTATTGTAGTTTTAGTAGTTAGTGGTAGTTTTAGTAGTTATGGTAGGTTTAGTACTAGTTGTAGTTTTAGTAGTTAGTGGTAGTTTTGTAGTTATGGTAGTTTTAGTATGTCCATGTAGATTCTCATTCATCCAGGTCATGGTTATCTTGAAGACTTAAAAACAGGCAACTGGACTGTGTAGAGTTGAGAAGACGTTTCGCCTCTTATCCAAGAAGCTTCTTCAGTTCTAAAAGTGCTACTGTCAGGAGCAGATATTTATCTTACTGGAGAAGGGGGACAGTTAACGACTGGGAGGAGTTGAAAAGAATGGGTCGTAGAAACCCATCTCTCGGTGTGTCCCCCCCAAGTCGTTATCCTGAAAGGGTCGTTAGCGACTCCTATCATGTGACCACATGACTCATGCCACCTAAGTCATGTGGTTCCAGGTGTGAATGTTTGTGGAGCTTTCTGGGGAGAGAGCTGAGAACTGCATTGTAAGTGCCAGAGAGATTGTGCCTGAGTCCACCCCCTCTGTTCAGAGAAGGTTTCTCCAGCCTGGTAAAGATGGCTTCTTTAACTCCTCTTTCAAACCATCTGTCTTCTCGAGCCAACACCTGTACATCGCTGTCCTCAAAAGAGTGACCTGTATCCTTCAAGTGAAGGTGGACAGCTGAGTCCTGACCTGAGGAAGTGGCTCTCCTGTGTTGAGCCATGCGCTTGTGAAGCGGTTGTTTAGTTTCCCCAATGTACAGGTCTGAGCATTCCTCGCTGCACTGGACAGCATACACCACATTACTCTGTTTATGTCTCGGTGTTTTGTGGTATATGCTGTCCAGTGCAGCGAGGAATGCTCAGACCTGTACATTGGGGAAACTAAACAACCGCTTCACAAGCGCATGGCTCAACACAGGAGAGCCACTTCCTCAGGTCAGGACTCAGCTGTCCACCTTCACTTGAAGGATACAGGTCACTCTTTTGAGGACAGCGATGTACAGGTGTTGGCTCGAGAAGACAGATGGTTTGAAAGAGGAGTTAAAGAAGCCATCTTTACCAGGCTGGAGAAACCTTCTCTGAACAGAGGGGGTGGACTCAGGCACAATCTCTCTGGCACTTACAATGCAGTTCTCAGCTCTCTCCCCAGAAAGCTCCACAAACATTCACACCTGGAACCACATGACTCAGGTGGCATGAGTCATGCGGTCACATGATAGGAGTCGCTAACGACCCTTTCAGGATAACGACTTGGGGGGGACACACCGAGAGATGGGTTTCTACGACCCATTCTTTTCAACTCCTCCCAGTCGTTAACTGTCCCCCTTCTCCAGTAAGATAAATATCTGCTCCTGACACTAGCACTTTTAGAACTGAAGAAGCTTCTTGGATAAGAGGCGAAACGTCTTCTCAACTCTACACAGTCCAGTTGCCTGTTTTTAAGTCTTCAAGATAACCATGACCTGGATGAATGAGAATCTACATGGACATATTGGATCACACTTTGGGTCGGATACCCTTCAGCTGGTCCGGGAGCACGAGAAAACTTGCAGGAAGATGGCGGATTACAGAAACCACCTCCGCTTCAACCTAAGATGCAGACAGCAAGGACTTGTTCCCAAAAGCCTACGCTTGTTTTCCACCGTTAAAGGGCACAGAGCAGACAGTATCCTTTGCAGGACACAGAAGCAGCTCCTCAATGAAAGGATTAGGCAGGTTAACTTCACCATCGAGGCCTTACAAGATAAAATATATCACACCAAGGAGACACTGGCATCCCGACTTCCAGAGGACATCCTCAACAAAGTCCACAACTTTGTTGACAAGGCTCAGAACTCTCAACACAACAAAGGCAAGATAAGGCAAACACAGAAATTTGACAGACTGCTCTTCAAGCACTCAAGAAGTCCATCAGAACTTGTTTGGAGGGACAAAACTGCCACATAGATACCAACATGCAAGAAAAGTGGGTGAAGAATTTGTCAGACAGGGTTCTCACTCAGCCGGAAAAGGAAGTCCTTTACAAAGGACTTAATTTTGCAGTTACCCCTGAACAGATCCCGGTGGTAGACCTTATCACAGCCACGGAGTCAGCTATCCGCAACAACAATCTGGTGGTCACGGAGGCAGAACAACTTAGGCTGAAGGTAACAGCTGCTCTCTGGAATGCCAAAACACCTCCTTCCAACCGGACCATGCAGGAAAGAAGAGCCTTGGCATCACTGCAAAAAGATGAAAACATCACCATCCTGCCTGCAGATAAGGGGAGATGCACTGTGGTACTCAACACCATGGATTACCATGACAAGGTAACAAGCCTTCTCAGTGACACTGCCACCTATGAAACTCTTAAACGGGATCCCACCAACAGCTACAAAAAGAAAGTTATCAGTGCACTTCAACAGCTCGAAAAGGATGGAGTTATCGACCGCCCACTCTATTACCGACTGTACCCAGGGGAAGCTGTCCCGTGCATTTATGGATTACCAAAAATACACAAGGAAGGGGCACCCCTTAGACCTATCATCAGCAGTTTAGTTGTAGTTGTAGTTTAAGTAGTTAGTGTTAGTTTTTGTAGTTATGGTAGGTTTAGTTGTAGTTGTAGTTTAAGTAGTTAGTGTTAGTTTTTGTAGTTATGGTAGGTTTAGTTGTAGTTTTAGTAGTTAGTTGTAGTTTAAGTAGTTAGTGGTAGTTGTAGTAGTAGTAGTTGCAGTTTTAGTAGTTAGTTATAGTTTTATGAGTTAGTGGTAGTTTTAGTAGTTAATTGTAGTAGTTAGTGGTAGTTTTTGTAGTTATGGTAGGTTTAGTGCAGTTGTAGTTTTAGTAGTTAGTGGTAGTTGTAGTAGTTAGTGTTGGTTGTAGTAGTTATGGTCGGTTTAGTAGTAGTTGTAGTTTTAGTAGTTAGTTGTAGTTTTAGTAGTTAGTGTTGGTTGTAGTAGTTATGGTCGGTTTAGTAGTAGTTGTAGTTTTAGTAGTAGTTGTAGTTTTAGTAGTTAGTGTTGGTTGTAGTAGTTATGGTCGGTTTAGTAGTTAGTGGTAGTTTTAGTAGTTAGTGTTGGTTGTAGTAGTTATGGTCAGTTTAGTAGTAGTTGTAGTTTTAGTAGTTAGTGTTGGTTGTAGTAGTTAGTAGTATTTTTGTAGTGGTTGTTTTTTTAACCCCTTGATGGTCAGTCTGATCACATGATGCTGACGGTCGACAAACAACAACCATCACACTGCACAGCGACAATACATGACTGTTACCATGACAACACCATCATCCAACATGCTACACACACACACACACACACACACACACACACACACACACACACACACACACACACACACACAGGCCTAACTGAACACATACAGATTGAGATCACTCACCGTCCAATAGAAAGCCTTGGACACTGCATCCCTGTGTGTGTGTGTGTGTGTGTGTGTGTGTGTGTGTGTGTGTGTGTGTGTGTGTGTGTGTGTGTGTGGGTTAGCCCCCTATCCTGAGCATGCTAACCAATTAGCCTGACTGCAGCTCTGAGTATGTGTGTGTGTTAGTGTGTGTGTGTGCTGACAGCCTCCCTCCACCTGTCCCCTCTCTCTCTCTCTCTTTCTCTGTCTCCCCCCTTTCTCTCCCCCTCTCTTCTGTCCCTCTGTGTGTGTGTGTGTGTGTGTGTGTTAGCCGTGTGTGTGTGTCGGTGCTGTTAGCATCCCTGCAGCCTGAGCTGGCGTCTTCCTCCTCCTCCTCTTCCTCCTCCCAGCATCCTTCAGTGTGACACACACAGAGCTGCAGCACTGAGCTCTGCCTCCCCCTGCTGGACACTCCCCACATTACAGCTTCATCACTGTCACTACATCAGGGCAATCATCATCACTGTCATCCTTATCATCATCTTCATCATCACTGTCATCCTTATCATCATCTTCATCATATTTACCATCATCCTCATCTTTATCATCTTCCTCCTCATCATCCTCATCCTCATCCTCAACATCTTTAGCATCATCCTCATGATCATCTTCATCCTCTTTACTACATCACCATCATCCTCATCTTCACCATCTTCATTATTATCCTCATCACCTTCATCACCCTCCTCCTCCTCTCTGCACCTCATCATGTGACCCAGAGTATTTCTGATGATAAACCTAAATGTCCCTTCCTCCCGAGAATAAAATATAATCAATATATTTTATCACTATAGATTTTAAATCTTCATAAATCAGATCAAACTAAAATAAAGAAAATAAAAAACAATAAAATCATTAAAATAAATGAAAAATAAAAAAAAATCAAAACAAAATAAAGACGTAAAAATCACATGAAGTAAAACAATCAAAAAAAAGATCAGACACCGACACCTGCTGAGGTCACATGACCACCTGATAAACTCACCTGTGGACGATCACCTGCTGAGGTCACATGATCACCTGATAAACTCACCTGTGGACGATCACCTGCTGAGGTCACATGATCACCTGATAAACTCACCTGTGGACGATCACCTGCTGAGGTCACATGATCACCTGATAAACTCACCTGTGGACGCTCACAGAGATCACGGAGTCCGGGGTTTTTTCAGTCCAACATCTGACTCTCTCCTGTCCTTATCTCCTAACTCCTTATCTCCTCTCCTTCCTTCCTTCCCTCATCTCCTAAGCATGTCGGTGTGCAGGTGTGTAGTTGTTGTGTATTTTTGTTGTCGTTTTATTGTGTAGCTGTGTTGATGTGAATCAGCTGCAGTTCCTTCAATCAGTCACCAGGTGTCACTGTCTACCTGAAATAAAACAGCTGAGATCAGTGAAGGTGGTTTATTGATTTATCGACTTCAGCTGACTTATTGATTGATTTTAACTGATTAACTGAATTATTGACAGTAATCGATTCATGAATTGATCAGCTGACTCTCAGCTTCCTGTTTGGACCGACGTTGTTGTTGAAGTTTTTTTAGGAATCGATTTCCTCTATACAACAATTTTAAGGGTACCTTATAAAATCAATATAAAATCAATGTTTACTCTTTACTAAAACAACAGGATCCCATCAGGACTTTCAAAATAAAAGCACCTACAGCTGACTACCTCTGTTTTAATTAGCAGGTTCGTTAACATGCTCGGCTCACCTGTAACGAGCGATAACGACGCGTTCAAAGAAACTCTTTAATAAAAACACATCATCAACAACAGCCAATGAGAATTCAGAACATGAACACCATTTTAACACACACTCATCGTCCAATGAGGAGTCAGAACACTGAAACACGTCCAAGAAAATCAGGAAACAAATTCTGTCCAATCACAGCACAGCTAAGGCGCTGACAGGTGAGGGGCGGGGCTTACACCACAACAAGACAAGGTGTGTGTGTGTGTGTGTGTGTGTGTCAAGAGCAACAATAAAAACAGGTGAGATGGAGGGGGGCCAATCAGATTATCAGGTCAGTGTCACCAGGCGTCTCTTCTACGAAGCGAGTTCAACTTAGCGAGGTCGCCTTGGCGCTTCCTCGCTCAACTTAGCGCGGTAGCCAGCGGTCTCGCTAAACAGTCCTACGACGCCGGTCATCAACCTCGTAAGAGGATCCAGCTTTGCTATGAGCGCGTGCACACATGTAAGGCGGAGCCCGCCGCATCTGACCAATCAGGAACATGGACCGGTCTGGAGCGTCAGAGCAGGCCGGAGAGCGAAGGACCGCGGACTTTACAAACGAGGAGCAGGAGACGATCATGAGAAAGTCTGAAGAATTCAAATCTGTCATAAACCTCAAAAACAACACCGTCACCGCCGCAGAAGACTGAAGGGAACGCTGGCAGAAAATGGCCGACAGTCAATGTGGAAGTATAGAGCGCCAAAAATCTTTGATGTGGTCATCACCCTGAAACAGCGCTTTTCAACACGCGCTTTAACTACGGCGAGCAGACATGTCTGATTCATTTCCAGGATGAATTCATTCATGTGTTCATTCCTATCGTGGTCACATGTTTTGTGTGTCGGCCATATTAGCCTTTCATAAAGGAGGTCATCCGGAGAAGGAAGTGGGTCCGTGCGGTCTCTGAAAACTCTCACACGCCGGAGTGCTCCTCCTCGGACAAGGCGAGCACCGAGGTCTACAGGATCCTCCAAGAACGGACACGCCATTTTTCCAGAGAGCTCATTGGTCAGTGGGCGGGGTTTTTATACTCCGTAAGTTCAATCGGGAACTTAACCTGCCCTGGAGCAGGTTAGCCGTTCAGCATTTGTTGCCATGGAGACTCGCCTCGCTAAGAAGTGAACCCACGTCGTAAAACAGGAAACCCCGAACTTACCCTCGAAGTTACCTCGCTAAGCAGTTATCCTGCTTCGTAGAACAGACCCCGGGTGGGAAGGGTTCAGGTTCAGGTTCAGGTTCAGGTTCAGGTTCAGGTTTAAGTTCAGGTTCAGGTTTAGGTTCAGGTTCAGGTTTAAGTTCAGGTTCAGGTTTAGGTTCAGGTTCAGGTTCAGGTTTAAGTTCAGGTTCAGGTTCAGGTTTAGGTTCAGGTTTAAGTTCAGGTTCAGGTTCAGGTTCAGGTTTAGGTTCAGGTTTAAGTTCAGGTTCAGGTTTAAGTTCAGGTTCAGGTTCAGGTTTAAGTTCAGGTTCAGGTTTAGGTTTAGGTTCAGGTTCAGGTTCAGGTTTAAGTTCAGGTTCAGGTTCAGGTTCAGGTTTAGGTTCAGGTTCAGGTTCAGGTCTGTCTCATGTTTTCTATATCAAAACAAATGTGTAAGAAAACATCTACAAGTATTTACAAAAGCAACTACAACTCCCACAATGCACTTCACCTCCACAGCCGAGTACAGAGATTCAGACTCTGTCTCTTTAAGTTTAAATTAAGGAGTTTATTTCATTAAAATCAGGGTTTAAATCTGAGGCTGATAATGATGGACAGATAATGAAGCTCCGTTTAAAGATAATGTTCAATTATTAAATATGAAGTTTTTAATTTTAGACTGAGCAGGTTACAACAGTCTGATGTAAAAGCTCGTTAATGTAACCTCTAAATCTCTGACCAATCAGAGAAGACGATCCTCAAACGTCTCTACAGAGGAGGAAGTGACCACCCCGTCATTTCTACGAACAATTTCTACATCTGGAGCTTCTTTTGTTTTAATTTAACCTTCTTTTGTTTTAATTTAACCTTCTTCTGTTTTAATTTAACCTTCTTCTGTTTTAATTTAACCTTCCTCTGTTTTAACTTAATCAGCTGTTTTGGGGTTTTTATGTTTAAATGTCGTCAAACGGACCGAGTGGATTTTACAGAAGAGTTTTTAAACTCAGCAGGATCTGCGTTTTTATAAATTCTGCTCATTTGACTGAATTTATGAGTTTCCAGGGTTACGGTGCTGCCTCCTGATTGGACAGGAGGAGGAGGAGGTGGAGCTCGGACCTGTTTGGGTCACCTGACCTGATGTGAGACGGGCCGGACTATGAGGAACCAATGAGATCATCAAACTGTTTTAAAATCCTCAGAAACTAAAATACAGAAACAGAACCGAGCCGGTCCAGGTGGAGAGAGAGAGGTTAGAGAAGATGGACCAAACGGACGGACAGACAGATAGACAGACGGGTCAACAGACAGACGGGTCAACAGACGAGTCAACAGACAGACGGGTCAACAGACGGGTCAACAGACAGACGGGTCAACAGACAGACGGGTCAACAGACGGGTCTCTTTTTTGTGCTCAGGTTCTGGTTCTAGTCCAGTTCAACTTGGCTTTATTTAATGTCTGCATCAGGTTCAGTCCAGTTCTGGTCCAGTTCAGAGGTTCAGAAACCAGTCTGAAAATCTACCAAACCAACAGAACTATCAGAACCTACAGGTCCTGGGGTCCCGGTCTGGTACCTGTTCTGTGTGGAGTCCAGTTTCTCAGACAGAACCAGCAGGTTTTTACCTCCCAGGGTTCTGCAACAACAGCCAAAACTGCTCAGGGTCCTGGAAGGTCATGGAAGGTCTTGGGAGGTCCTGGAAAGTTCTTGGAAGGTCCTGGAAAGTTCTTGGAGGTCCTGGAAGGTTCTGAGGGTTCCAGAAGTTTTTTAATTCAAAGGTCCTGGAAGACCAAGTTGGGGGGGTTCTGAAAGCTTTAAGCTTTTATTTTGAAAGTTCTTCTGGGTTCTGCTGGGTCCTTCTGGTTCTCATCTCACCTTCCTCAGCCTGGCCCGGTTCTCTTTGTCTCTTTTTTTTAAGGAAGTGATGTAATGTTGGAACAGAACTTCCTGTTCCTTCTTCCCGTTCAGAGCGGTAAAGCGTTGGTCTCCATGGTAACGAGCGCAGAACGCCTTGAAGGTCGATCTGCAGAAGAACACGAACATTCAGAGAAGACAACACATGACCACCAGATGACCATCACATGACCATCACATGACCATGACCATCACATGACCATGACCATCACATGACCATGACCGTCACATGACCATGACCGTCACATGACCATGACCATCATATGACCGTCACATGATCATCACATGACTACAGGAGATCCAGGTTCATCATGTCTGTTTTTTTTTTTTTAACTGTTTCAGGTGTGAATGATGTCACAGGTGTTTCAGGTGTTTCAGGTGTGAATGATGTCACAGGTGTTTCAGGTGTTTCAGGTGTGAATGATGTCACAGGTGTTTCAGGTGTTTCAGGTGTGAATGATGTCACAGGTGTTTCAGGTGTGAATGATGTCACAGGTGTTTCAGGTGTTTCAGGTGTGAATGATGTCACAGGTGTTTCAGGTGAGGTTACCTGCCGGTCAGCCTGGCCTCCTCCAGCAGCCGTTTGAACTCTTCTCTCGCTCTCTGCAGTTTGTTTTTCTTTTCTTTGTACTCATCTTTTAACCTGCTCTTCACAAAGACGTCAAACACCTAAACACACACACACACACACACACAAACACAAACACACACACACACACACACACACACACACACACAGAGGTATCATGATATCTGTGTGTACTCAAACCTTCAGACGTTCCTCCCCCATGATTGTCCAGGAGAACTTTAGTTGTTGTTGTTTTTGTTTAACCGGATTACCCCCCCCCCCCCCAGCTCTCCCTGCCTTAAAAAAAAAAAATTACTGGAATATAAAATAAGCAGGAAGCCACACCTCCAAGTATTATTAATGAGAAAAACATTAATAAAAATATTAATAATAATAATAATAACAAAAATGGAAATATAAAAATATTATTATTATTATTTTTATTGTTATTATTATTATTATTTTTATTGTTATTGTTATTATTATTATTATTTTTATTGTTATTGTTATTGTTATTATTATTATTATTATTATTATTATTATCATTATTATTATTGTTGTTGTTATTATTATTATTATTATTGTTGTTGTTGTTATTATTGTATTCCTGAATGATTTGATCAAGTTGACCTGTTTCCTCTGATCTGAGGTCAGCAGCAGATATCGAGGGTCAAACACCATCTTATGAAGCTCCTTCTCATAGGTGGAGAACGCAGACACCTGCGGGGACACACACACACACATACACACACACAAACACACACACACACACACACAAACACACACACACAGAAAAACACACACACACACACACAATGATGTAGTTTATACTTTGATGTTTCTGAATTTGCCATTTATTTATTGGCTGTTAAACTCGTTTCCATGGTAACTCGTCCTATGTTCTATTAGGGGATTGTTTTATATTGTGTGTGTGTGCGTGCGTGCGTGTGTGTGTGTGTGTTACCCCTCTCTCCAGCATCATCTCTCTAAAATGAGTCACACGGCGCTCCAGTGGGAGGAGCTTCACTTCACCTGGATGAGGGACGAGCGCCATCTGCTTGTCCAGTCTAAACAGAGAGAGACCAATCACATCGCTCGGTGAGGATGACATCATCATGAGGTTGTTTATTTTTCTGTGTTCTGCTCTCTGATTGGCTCAGACATACCTGTATCGTTTAGAGTGTTGTTCATCATCATCGTTGTTGCCATGGAGATCAGATGATTGACAGCTGCCGTTTTGCTCTGAGAGAAAAGAGAAAAGTCAAAATTGATCTTAATATGGAAGAAGAAGAGTCATGTGACCAGGTGACAGGTGACAGACCCGCAGGTGTCGTCCTCTTCCTCTTGTGGGGCGGGTCCTCAATGATGCTGCTAATGTCTCGACCAATCAGCTCCCCCGGTCTTTCCCACACGGACAGGTGGATTGTGGGATTAAAGAAGAAGACACGGTCGTCTCCGGTCCACACCACACACCTGAACACACACACACACACAGGTAGACACACACACACACACACACACACACACTTCTTCATACCGGTGGGTTCAACTAACAGCTGGGCATCAGTGCTGTCGTCATGGCAACACAACTGCACAACATCAGGTCAGAGGATTGTGTTTACTTTCAAATCAGTGTGTGTGTGTGTGTGTGTGTGTGTGTGTGTGTGTGTGTGTTACCATGGAGACCCTGGGACAGGAGTGGAGGCAACAGGACGTATAGTTTGACTTCTATCTGCCTCTCTGTCGGAGGACACACACTGCAATACAAACACACAAACACACACAAACACACAAACACACACAGACACACACAAACACACACACACAGACACAAACACACAGACAAGAACACTTTAATTATAATCTCAAAGCGAAGAGTGAAGGAGAAATTAAGTTTGTCATCAGAATGATCAAAAGAGTCATGTGGTGGGAGGAGTCAGGCAGGGGAGGAGTCAGGTGGTGGGAGGAGTTTAAAGGTCAATCTGATTAAAGGTAAAATAACCAAATGTCTGGAATCACCACGGCAACACGTCTCCAGCTCTGTGTGAAATCACCATGGCAACAGGTCTCTCTCACCTGTTTGTCTTTGTCCATCAGTCTCTTTGTCCTCAGAAGAAAAGACGCAGAAACGTTAGCTCCACACATCCGCCGATGTTTCTCTGACAAAAACAAAAAACTGGATTTAAACTTTGGAACGGGGTCACCGTCATCTTTCTGCTGATCAACCAATGTTCAGAACACACACACACACACACACACACACACACACACACACACACACACACACTCTGAGTGTCTCTGACAGTTTAAATCTGGAGTCGTGAAGGATGAGCGTCTCCTCAGGCCGACTGTGAAGCTCACAGAGAAGATGATGTGACAGCGCAGACCTGATCATGTGACCACCATGTCAGAAACCATCAGAGGTCCGTCTGCTGACACAGAGTAGACCGTAGAGGATCCTCAGAGAGTCCTCCTGAGGTTCTCCGTCAAACCTCCACTGACCATCACAGTGACGCCATCAGACTCCTGATCGCTTCATTACAAACATCCCTTTGTGTTATTCTAACCTAATTCCTACATTACCCAGAATGCCCTGACCTCCACAGGACCACCAACAGTTCTATCAGACACTGTCTTATCAGTGGATTCAATATGAAGGAAGACCAGAGCTGCTGAGCTCCTCTGGGTCTAAACCGAGACCTCAGGCCAGTCCATTACAGACTACAGCGGGGTGCCGCAGCTCAAGGAAGAACATTTATGATCATTTCTTTCTCATTTCCTTGAAGTAATAATCTCCATATTAATCATTTTACAGACGCTGTAGTTCTTCTGTCTCAGCGTCTCGGTCTGATTGTATTTCCATGAAGAAATGATCATAAATGTTCTTCCTTGAGCTGCGGCACCCCGCTGTAGTCTGTAATGGACTGGCCTGAGGTCTCTCTACAAACAAGCGTCTGCTGGAAGAGAGTAGGTGAGTTGTGTTTAGTCTCTTTGCTAAAGAAATGAGTCAAAGTTAAAAAGATGTTTGGTGTCTAGTACTATGTCTGTGACCCTATATGTCCTGTTGATGAAGTTAGGTGCTGTTCTGAGCATTATTTGTGGCTATAGAGTGGCGTTTTGGTTGGGGGCGTGTCTCTCTGTATTTCTATCCTGCGGTCGTTACTAAAGTTGGTATAACTAGAGAAGGAAGCGGTCGACAACATTCATCTCTGGAGGCGGGGTCTAACTCTGCTTGACCCTAAATTAATTTTACAGCAGAATATCCCTTTAAGCATCTACAGATTATAGTCGCTGTGAACAAAGAAGATTAAACTTTAACTAAAAGTCAGTCTGTAATGACATCTAACACACACACACACACACACACACACACACACAGGTCTCACTGTGTCTGTTGTCGGTCATCAGAGTCAATCTGGAGGGAAACTCTGAAGAAAAGAAGGACGGAGGAACTTCCTTCAACAACTAAAAAAACAAAAATAATCAGTTTTAGAAAAAACCTCAACGTATAAAAAACACACACACACACACACACACACAAACACACACACACACACACATACAGACCTGAGGAGGAAACACAGGCCATCTTTCCTGGAGAGGGAAAAATGGAGAAACAACCAGACCACCTGGACCACCCTGGGGGGTCGGGGTCAGAGGGTTTTTATCAGTTAATATATTTTATGGATTAAAGTAAATCCAGTTCAAACTGGTTTGTAGGACTTACCTGTTTTGGTGGGAGGGGCTTTCTTTTCAGGCTGCTGATTGGCTGTAACCACGCTTTAAGGTTTGTTTTTTTGGCACGGACTAAAGGCCACGCCTCCTTGTTTTCTTGTATCTGAAGTCCCGCCCACTCACAGTAGGCTCCACCTATGGAGGTAGAGAATGGCGTTCGTTAAGTCTTTGAACACACCTGTCCAGGTGAACCTCAGGTCCTCCTCCTGTTCTTGTTTTCATGCTGATGTGGAGTCCTGTCTGTGATCAACCTGCTCTGATCTCACCTGTGGACAGGTGAGGACAGGTGAGGACAGGTGAGGACAGGTGAGGACAAACTGTGTGTGTGTGTGTGTGTGTGTGTGTGTGTGTGTGTGTGTGTGTGTGTGTATGTGTGTGTGTGTGTGTGTGCTTTAATAAAAGGTCCACCAGGGGTCTGTTCTACGCAGCAGGATTACTGCTTAGCGAGGTAACTTCGAGGGTCAGTTCGGGGTTTCCTGTTTTACGACGTGGGTTCACTGCTTAGCGAGGCGAGTCTCCATGGCAACAAATGCTGAACGGCTGACCTGCTCCAGGGCAGGTTAAGTTCCAGATTGAACTCACCGAGTATAAAAACCCCGCCCACTGACCAATGAGCTCTCTGGAAAAATGGCGTGTCCGTTCTTGGAGGATCCTGTAGACCTCGGTGCTCGCCTTGTCCGAGGAGGAGCACTCCGGCGCGTGAGAGTTTTCAGAGACCGCACGGACCCACTTCCTTCTCCGGATGACCTCCTTTATGAAAGGCTAATATGGCCGACACACAAAACATGTGAATATGATAGGAATGAACACATGAATGAATTCATCCTGGAAATGAATCAGACATGTCTGCTCGCCGTAGTTAAAGCGCGTGTTGAACAGCGCTGTTTCAGGGTGATGACCACATCAAAGATTTTTGGCGCTCTATACTTCCACATTGACTGTCGGCCATTTTCTGCCAGCGTTCCCTCCGCTCTTCTGCGGCGGTGACGGTGTTGTTTTTGAGGTTTATGACAGATTTGAATTCTTCAGACTTTCTCATGATCGTCTCCTGCTCCTCGTTTGTAAAGTCCGCGGTCCTTCGCTCTCCGGCCTGCTCTGACGCTCCAGACTGGTCCGTGTTCGTGATTGGTCAGATGCGGCGGGCTCCGCCTTACATGCGTGCACGCGCTCATAGCAAAGCTGGATCCTCTTACGAGGTTGATGACCAGCGTCGTAGGACTGTTTAGTGAGACCGCTGGCTACCCCGCTAAGTTGCTCCGAGGCGACTCGCTCGGTCGAACTCGCTTCATAGAACAGACCGCTGGTCCTGCTCACTGATTGGCTGAAGACACTGATGATTGACAGGTCAGATTATGAGATGTGTCTATATTTGATCAAACTAACATACCAGGTGCATTATGGGAAAAGTTAGATACAGTACCCCCCCCCCCCCCACACACACACACACGCACACACACAGCACATAGTCCTCCTTACAGCACATTGTTACCGTGACAACCACAGAGATTTTACCGGAGTCAGCTAAACGGCATCATGGGAAAAAAAGACACCTCTCTCTCTCTCTCTCTTTTCTTTCTTGTTGTGTTTATGTCGCTCGCCCACTTTCAGACAGACAGGCTATAAAAGGAGGAGAACTCATCTGCATCTGAATGTGTGTGTGTGTGTGTGTGTGTGAGTGTGTGTGTGTGTGTGTGTGTGTGTGTGTGTGTGTGTGTGTGTGTGTGTGTGTGTGTGTGTGTGTGTGTGTGTGTGTGTGTGAGCAGCTTTGTCTAAACCACACTGTTGTCCCCGAACAAACACATATTTATAAACATGTACACACACACACACACACACACACACACACTCTCTCAGTCCCGTTTGATGTCTGGATTTTCTTCTTCGTCTAATCTCTCCGTTATTTTAGAGTTTCTTCATCATCCCTCCATCCTCCTCCTCATCCTCATCAGATTGACTAGAATTCTGCGGTTGCTATAGAAACAAAGCTCTGTCACCAACAGAACCAGGTGGTTACCATGGTGATATAAAGGAATGTGAAAATTTGCAGCGTCACATCAGGGGCGGGGCCACGTCAGGTCACAAGACCATCAGCCGTCCAATCAGAGACCCGAACATGATTCAAACATCATCAGCTGATCAAACATAAACAAACTAAAATCAGCTGATCAAACATAAACAAACTAAAATCAGCTGATCAAACATAAACAAACTAAAATCAGCTGATCAAACATAAACAACTCGACTTTATCTGTAAATCACTTTAAAACAACCAGAGCTGAACATAAACAGACGAACAACACAGACGTAAAAAACAATTAAAAAACGATTAAAACGACGGATAAAATAAAAGCAGAATTAAAAAGTAAAATATCGTTTCAATGTTTTTAAAAACTAATTTAAAAACAAATAAATAAAAACAAACGGAGTTCAGAGCCGGGCGGAGAGGGAGGACCGTCTGACTCCAGAGTAAAGTTAAAGTAATCCAGTAAACTGAGACGTAACAAAGGCATGGATTACTGTTTCAAAGAGATTATAAAGAAAGACTTTACCTCAGTCAGCTGACTAATGTGATAAAAACTGGATTTAAATACTGAGATCATTTACCTTTAAAATCAGCGTCTGTCTTAAAACCTAAATTTGAGACGGTTGGTTTGACCGTGATCAGCTGATCAAACATAAACAAATTATAGTCAGCTGATCAAACATAAACATAATCAGCTGATCAAACATAAACATAATCAGCTGATCAGGATATTAATAAAAAATCATCAGAAATCTTCAAACAGAAAAAAACTCGATCCATGAAGTCAATGGGAAACAAATGGATGGATGAATGATAGACAGATGGATGGATGGATGAATGATAGACAGATGGATGGATGGATGAATGATAGACAGATGGATGGATGGATGGATGGATGATAGACAGATGGATGAATGGATGAATGATAGACAGATGGATGGATGGATGAATGATAGACAGATGGATGGATGGATGAATGATAGACAGATGGATGGATGGATGAATGATAGACAGATGGATGGATGGATGGATGAATGATAGACAGATGGATGAATGGATGAATGATAGACAGATGGATGGATGGATGAATGATAGACAGATGGATGGATGGATGAATGATAGACAGATGGATGGATGAATGGATGAAAGGTGAATCTCTGAGGTCATTTGAGGATTTATTAGATAATCAGTTTTTTTCTGACAGTCATGTGACCAATCAAAAGCCCTGATCAATACTGAAGATAAACAGACTCTGAAGTTTATTTTGAAGGTTTTATAGTTTTATATTTTAATGTTTTATATTTTATAGTTTTTTTATTGTTTTTTATGAAACATGAAGTTCAGATTTAAACATTTACAGCTGCAGCAGTTTCACCTTTTCTCTCATCTATGATTCACATTTCTGCTTCATTTATTAATCAGCAGGAGGCACACACACACACACACACACACACACACACACACACACACACACACACACACACACACACACAGACACACAGACACACACACAGACACACACACACACACACACACAGACAGACACAGACACAGACACACACACACACACACAGACACACAGACAGACACAGACACACACACACACACACACACACACACACACACACAGACACAGACACACACACACAGACACACACACACACACACACACACACACACACAGACACACAGACACAGACACAGACACAGACACACACACACACACACACACACAGACTGTGTATGACTGAGTGAATCTTTCACTGACTGATGGACATATGAAGTTTGAGTGCAGCGCCTCCTACAGGTCACCTGTCACTGCTGCTCGTCAGTCAAGTTTGTTTCTGTGATCTGATTGGAGCAGAGAGAAAGTGACTCCGCCTCTGTCAGGTGTTTTTGTTCAGGTTGTTCAGGTTCAAACCGTCCGTCACTGTCTGCCTGCAGAGCCACAGTTAGAGACCGATCCAAGACCAGATCCAGAACCAGAACCAGAACCTTCAGTCCCTGGACTGGATCCCTGGGAGTGAAATCCTGTTCCTGGTCCACAGATCACTGAATGGTCTCAGGTCTAAAGCTGCTACCAAAACCCGTCAGGTCATCAGGGACCGGCCCACTTATTGACCCCAGGTCAGAACCGAGCAGGAGGAAGCTGCAGTCAGCTTCTGTGGTCCTCAGCTGTGGATCAACTCAGGTGTGAACAATCGTGTTTACTTCAGGTGTTTCCTCCACGTCTTTAACTTTAACTCTTTAACTTTGACTCTTTGACTCTTTAACTTTAACTCTTTAACTTTAACTCTTTAACTTTAACTCTTTAACTTTGACTCTTTGACTTTGACTCTTTAACTGAGGTTTCAGTTTCGAGAACATTTTCAGATTTAAGATCCTTTTTAAACACTTTTATCTCTTTTTTCTTTGACTGTGTATTTCCTCACATCTATAAAGCACTTTGAAGAACCATCAAGAATCAGAACCAGAACCAACAAGAATCAGAACCAGGACCATCAAGAATCAGAACCAGAACCAACAAGAATCAGAACCAGAACCAACAAGAACCAGAACCAAACTAGAAAAAGACTAGAACAAGGATCAGGAACAAGACACCGGACTCACCTGTTAGAGGAGCGGCAGTGAGGAGGGGCAGCTGAACAGGAGACACAGAGAGGAGGTGCAGAGGGACAGAGGAGGAGGAGGAGGAGGAGTCTTTTTGTTTGGTCTCCGGAGTCTTTGTCAAATCTGCTGGAAGTCAACGAAAACAGAAACAGGAGCTGATTATGAACACATGAGAGGAGGATGAAATAAGAGGGTTATAAAGGGGGGGGGGGGGGCAGTGGAAGGAGGAGCAGGAGGAGGAGGAGGAGGAGGACAGGTGAGAGCAGGAGGTGATGAAGCTGCAGGTAAAGAAATCACAACAACAAATAAAATGTTTGTTTTGTGATCGCAGGTCGACATTTTCAGTGTGGTTCACTGTTTTATCCTGTGTGTGTGTGTGACTGTGTGTGTGTTAGTGTGTGTGTGTGTATGTGTGTGTGTGTGGAGGATCAGACCGCCTCCACATGTTTGAGCTCCTTTCATGAAACATTGACCTAAATCTGTTGACAGCAGGAGCGTCACGGTGACAATAAAACATCTTTGTACAGATGCTCCATGAAGTGAGATGCTCTGCTCAGACTGGAAAAAAAAACTAAACAAAAACAGCAGAAGAAGAAGAATTTCCTGAGCTGGAGGTCAGAAGTTTCACGGTACGATCTAACTGGACGGTCAAACAGGAACTTAAATGACCAGATTAATTAATCTTAATCTGATTAAATCTGATGTAATCTGGTTTGATTTTGGTCGATCCAGTTTGACCTGGTTTCATCCTTTCTAAACTCGTATCAGTTTAATCTGGTGTGATGCAGTTCAATCAAGTCAAATCTGGTGTAATCCAGTGTGATGTAGTTTGATCCACTGTAATCCAGTTTAAATCAGTTAGTCCGGTTTATTCCAGTTTGATCTAATTTCATTTAGTTTGATTCATTTCAATCCAGAACAATCTGGTTTAATCCAGCTAGTCCTGTTCACTTTCATAAGGCTGGATCTGGTTTGAGTCAGTTTAATCTGGTTTAATCTGGTTTGAGTCAGTTTAATCTGGTTTAATCTGGTTTGAGTCAGTTTAATCTGGTTTAATCGCGTTTAATCCGCTTGGATCCGGTTAGATGACAGAATATTGCCTGTGTTTTATTCTTTCATAGAGTAATAAGGAAATATTATATTATATATAGTGTTTGTGTGTGTGAGTGTGAGTGTCTGTGTGTGTGCGCATGTGAATATGTGTCTGTGTGTGTGTGTGTGTGTGTGTGTGTGTGTGTGTGTGTGTGTGTGAGTGTGTTTGTGTTTGTTGTAAATCTTCCTGACTTGACACTAAAAAGTTTTAAACTGTTAAATTAATGATGTTTTTTAAACAGGCTCCGCCCCCTCATGTCCATATATGGTTGTGTTAAAAGGAGCTCTGCAGTCTGATGTAAAGCAGAAACATTTTCCCATCATGCTCCACTGGGTGATTTCAAATTGACCAATCATCTTCATATTATCTCTGACAGCAGCTTTCTGTGTGTTAGTGTGTGTGTGTGTGTGTGTGTGTGTGTGTGTGTGTGTGTGTGTGTGTGTGTGTGTGTGTGTGTGTGTGTGTGTGTGTGTGTGTGTGTGTGTGTGTGTGTGTGTGTGTGTGTGTGTGTGTGTGTGTGTGTGTGTGTGTGTGTGTGTGTGTGTCAGCAGAAAAGCACACACACTCTATCTCTGTGCAGCCACTTTAACAGCCAATCAGCTCTCAGCTGTGTGCTGGTTGTCATAGTAACGGAGCAGACTGCTGCATCACTAAAACACCGCTGTCCTCCGTGTCACGGTTCGATTCCAGCCGCCGCTGCTGCAGGTAAGGCTGGTCACACACACACTAACAAACACACACACACACACACACACTCTCGGGTCTGTTTGCTAGCCAATCAGGAAAGACTTTGATTTAAACCACGCCCCTATAACAGTTGGGGGTCAGGAAGTCAAACCCACCTGAGTCAGGTGATCTCTTACCTGAAATCTGATTGGGGGACAGGAGTATGTCAGTCCTGGGGGCGTGGCCTAACCTCTGGATGAAATGATGCGTCAGGAGGAGGGGCTTGTCTCTTCTCTGGAACACGCCCACTTCTTCAGGTGAGACCCAACCATCGGCGAGCTGCACACAGGTGAGCATGTGAGCGCGATCTGACAGGAGTGTGTGTGTGTCTGTGTGTGTGTGTGTGTGTGTGTGTGTGTGTATGTGTGTGTGTGTACCTTTGGCAGAGGATGAGGAGGATAAAGATGTGAAGAATGATAGAGCGGAGGGAGGAGAGGAACGACCTCGACAGCAGGACGCTCCCACTGCAACAACACACACAAACACACACAAACACACACAAACACACACAAACACACCTGCATCAGACCACACCCACCCATGATGTCATCAGCAACTGGACGCCCCCCCATCCAGGTGTCAATAGTAAAGGTAACAGATGGATAATCGGAGACAGGTACGGCGTAACACTTCGATTCTGTCCACTTACATCCCTGCGTGTCCCTGACCTCTGACCTCTGACCTCTGAGCTGTGGCGGTCTGTGTTTGTTTTCACAGACGTCTTTATGGAGCGAATAAAAAACATTTTTAATCTGAAGAACCAGAAACTTTCAAAATATCAACAAGAACCTTTAGATGAAATAAAAACAACCTGAAAGAAATCAACACAGCGGACAGGAGAGAGGTCACCTGAGGTCACCTGAGGTCAGCTGAGTGTGTGTGTGTGTGTGTGTGTGTGTTTACCTGGATCAGGTGTATGTGTGTGTGTGTGTGTGTGTGTGTGTGTGTGTGTGTGTGTGTACCTGGATAAGGTGTATGTGTGTGTGTGTGTGTGTGTGTGTGTGTGTGTGTGTGTGTGTGTGTGTGTGTGAGAGTGTGTGTGTTTACCTGGATCAGGTGTGTGTGTTCAGGTATCCACACGGCTCGAGGGTAGACCACAAAAGGGGGCGGAGTCTGGTAGGTTGCAGCTGACCAGCTGGCCAACCACAGCCAGGGTGGGGCGGGGTCACTGCTGACGGACAGCCAAGGTGTGTTGGTGGTTACCATGCCAACTGGCTGACCTTTGAACCTGGAGACTGGCAGCATCATGATGACATCACCACCTGGAGACCAATCAGAACCAAGAATCAGATTATTGATCATTGATCGGACCACAGACCGGACTCACTTAGACTCAGGGTTCGATAGATACAGTCTAAGGTGCTGAGCAGAGGACCCGACAGTGTCCCCCTAACATCTGTCAGAGCGGTTCTGATGACCTCAGAATCTGAAGGTTCGGTGATGTCACTGATGTTCCCGGACTGTTCCACTATGTTTACAAAAGTCCAAAATCTTCTCAAACGTTCCGGAATGTTATTGATCTTTTAGAATGTCTTTGATGTTATAGAATGTTCAGTGATATTCTAGAATGTTCTACATCCTCCAGAGTGTCACCACCATAGACTGTATTTACTCTGGACAACTTGGTTCCTCCTTCCGCCAGGATACTGGTATTGAAGCTGAAAAGTTCTCGGTATTTCCGCGATTTTTCCTCCTCAAACCAACATTGTTCAGTAGCGTTGTTCGTACTCAGCGGGAGAGTCCCCGAGAGTCTCTGTGATGACGCTCGGCTCAAACAGCGTATCCCCCGGTGATCTACTCAATCTCTGTCCTCCCATAGGCTGTATCAGGTGTCAATCATAGAAAACATGAACCCCCTAATAACTTTTAAAAATGGAGCTGTACAGAAAAAAGAGGACTTGAGCACAAACCAGTCTGACAGTAACTACATGTCAACATCACAACCAGGGGGGACAAACATTTATATTCTGTGTCATTCATTTAGAAAGTTTGTCCACAGCTCCATAAGGAGGCGGGGTTTAGGACCTATACTGCAGCCCGTCACCAGAGGGCGCTGTTCTCACAGAGAGGAGGCAGACGGTGTCTATTCTAGATACAGTCTGTAGGTTGAAACGGTTTCAGAGATCAGATTATAGAAAACTCTCAGATTACAGTCGGAGGTCAGATTATCTTCTCTGTGTCTGACTCAACAGTAAAGTTTGACTCTCAGAGTTTCTGTCTCTCAGGTCTGTCTCTGTCTGTCCCTCTGTTGTCCCTGCGCTCCAGCGGCTCCTCAGCCTCTCTGACTGGGTTTGATTCCAGCTCTCTGTCACTCACACACACACACACACACACACACACACACACACACACACACACACACACACACACACACACAGTCATCAGTAACTCATTTTAACACACACATACATCACGAACTGAGGAACTAACGGTACTATCCAGTTCCGGTTCTGGTGCTCAGCTGATGCAGTCTGCAGATCACGGAGCGGCTCGGTTCTGTACCGGGTTAGAACCGGGTTAGAAGCAGGTTAACTCACAGGTTACAGCCCGCTCTCTGACACCTACCGACCCGCGGAGCCTCTCCCGCTGCTGTCCCGGCTCCGAGCTCCTCCGCCCGGCGGCACCGAACCTCCCCGCCCGGTCACGTCCTCAAGCTGCAGCTCAGAGGTCCTCACTCAGGTCCGCAGATCACATCCATGCGGTACCGGAGAGTCCAGACACACCGGGGAAAGAGACACACCGAGGAGACACCGACAAGACTGAGAGAGAGAGAGAGAACCGGAGAGAGAGAGAGAGAGAGAGAGGGAGAGAGAGAGGGAGAGGGACACAGGTGAAGAGCGTCCAGGTTCAGACGGAGCGCGTGCAGATCAGACGCTCCAGGAAGAAAACCGAGAGCCCCTACCGTGCGTGTGTGTGTGTGAGTGTGTGTGTGTGTGTGTGTGTGTGTGTGTGTGTGTGTGTGTGTGTGTGTCTCCTCGGTACAAACCGATTTAGTCTCCCGTAAATGGAGCCACTTTCAGATCAAAGCGGCGCCTCCCCGCTCAGAGTGTGTGTGTGTGTGTGTGTGTGTGTGTGTGTGTGTGTGTGTGTGTGTGTGTGTGTTTGAAACAGAAATTGAAATAAATCTGTAAGAAGCTGATAAAGTAAAAGAGTCTGACAGAAAATTAATGTAGGAAAATTTTTAACAGTAAAAACTTTTTTAAAACTGATCAGTAAATTAACCTAATAATCTGATAGTTAATCTGATAATCTGATAGTTAATCTGATTATCTGATAGTTAATCTGATAATCTGATAGTTAATCTGATAATCTGATAGTCAAATTGATAATCTGATAGTTAATCTGATAATCTGATAGTCAGACTGATAATCTGATAGTCAAACTGATAATCTGATAGTTAATCTGATAATCTGATAGTTAATCTGATAATCCCATAATCTAACGATGACTAATTATTCTACAGCATTTAAAATACTTAAACCTGTAAAGCAGAGGCTGTGATTGGATAACAGGAGTTAAGTCCCGCCCCAGGTTGTGATTGACAGAAAGTGTAAAGTAGAAATGGAAAAGTTTTCTTGTTTTGAATCTGTTCATTATTTTTAAAGTGCTGTGGTATTGATTTGGATCAAAGTTGAAAATTATTGATTGGTTTGTGGCTCTGATGAAAATAACTCTTTTCATGGTTTAAAGGCGGAGTTATCAGACAGACGGTCGGGGTTCAACTCTGCAGAGACTCACAGTCGCTCAGAGTCAAAGTTTCAGGCTGCAGGAGACTGATGGATAATATATGAATATATCAATAAATATGATTAATAAATAATCAATGTTTGACTCAGTTCTTTTCATTTAAACTGTTCAATAAAAACAGGAATAACAGACTTTAATGTCTGTAACAAGTTTAGTGGAACCAGGTTTTCTTACATTGAAGACTAGTCCAGTCAAACCAGAGTCCTCCAAAAACCACAAACCAAACACAGGACCCCCAGTCCTGTCAGTAAAGGACCCCAGACCTCCAATCGAAGGACTCAAACGTCCCTAAAGACCGTTCTGAAGACGGCCCTCCTGTCCACTCTGACTTTAGGAGGAGAGAGGGTCTCGTTTTGGTTCCACTGATGTGATGGTCTTCATGAACATCATTAAGAGTCTACAACTGTTACATACGTGTGCATATACCGATCAATATTTTATATAACACTAATGCACAACATTGTCATAGAAATATCAATCATTTTATTGATCGATCAGAAACCAGAAAACTCTAAACTAAAGAAACTCAAACATCAAAGGAAAACAGAACGATCAATACTGACTCTGAATGATTGATTACCAGATCATCAGAACATGAGGATGATCGGTTTAGGAATGATGATGATGATGAAGATGATGATGATGATGAAGATGATGATGATGGTTATAGAAATGATAATAATGATAATGAAGACGATTTCAATGAGGATGATGAAGATGATGATGACAGTGGTGATGATAATGTTAATGAAGATGACGATGATGAAGGTAATGACGGTGGCGATGATGATGATGAAGATGTTGATGATGAAGATGATCGTGTTTGTAAATCCGATCTCACGCTCCATCTAAACCATTTCAGTTTTTTTCTCTGAGACTGTTTCTGTTTTAAATCACTGCTGCTGTCTCTGTGTTACAGCGCACACACACACACACACACACACACACACACACAGTCAGTGTTAGTGAGGGGTGAAATTGAGTTGTTTCAGTCGGGAGAGTAAAGAACAATAGAGAGAGATGAAAACTGTTTCTATTATTATACTAATGTCTCTCTCTCTCTCTCACTCTCTCCCTCTCTGTCTCTCTGTCTCTGTCTCTCTCTCTCTCTCCGTTTTCCCTCTCTCTGTCTCTCTCTCTCCCTCTCTCTCTGTCTCTCTCTCCGTTTTCCCTCTCTCTCTCTCTCTGTCTCTGTCTCTCTCTCTCTCTCTGTTTTTCTCTCTCTCTCTCTCACTCTGTCTCTCACACTCTCTGTCTCTCACACTCTCTCTCTCTCTCTCTCTCTGTCTCTCTCTCCCTCTCTCTCTCTCTGTTTTTCTCTCTTTCTCTTTTCGTCTGTTTCTTGCAAAACCCAATTATCTCCTCCCCACCTTTAACGTTGCCATGGAAACACAACCGTTTCTAACAGGCTGTAGTAACAGCGGTTACCGTGGTGATGTGTGCAGTAACAGTGTTAGTTTCGGTCTCAGGCTCCAGTTGTTGTTTCTGACACAGAGCTCCTCTAACTTCAGGGGTCGGGGGTCGAACAGGTCCAGAACAAGTCCAGAACAAGTCCAGAACTGGTCCAGAACAGGTCCAGAACAGGTCCAGAACAGGTCCAGAACTGGTCCAGAACAGGTGTCCCTGTTCACACTCAGACTGGGAACACCTGAAATCAGAGGAACCCTTCAGAGAGCACAGGTGAGCTGAACAGGTGAGCTGAACAGGTGAGCTGAACAGGTGGAGCTCGGAGATGGATGGAGATGGAGGAGGAGTCAGGGCCGATCATGATTCGCTCGTGTTTTTGCACGTTTATGTCGAGTGAAGGGGCGTGTCCCAATTCTCCAGAAGGTTAAAGGGGAGGGACTTAGACCAACGGGGTCCACGGTCCTGAACCGAAACCTAACCTGAAATGGAGCGGCTCAGATCTGGATCTGATTGTCATGGTAACGACACTTTTTATCAGATATTTTATCCTTTAATACTTCAAGTAAAAATCAGCGAAGTTTTGAAGAGTTAGATACTCTGATGTCAGACATGGGTGACGAATTCACCGCAGACGGACTTTACTACAAACTACTACAAAGTACTACAAAGTACTACAAAGTACTACAAAGTACTACAAAGTACAACGATGTACTACAAAGTACTTCAAAGTACTACAAAGTACTACAATGTACTACAAACTACTACAAAGTACTACAAAGTACTACGATGTACTACAAACTACTACAAACTACTACAAAGTACTACGATGTACTACAAACTACTACGATGTACTACAGAGTACTACAAAGTACTACAAAGTACAACGATGTACTACAAACTACTACAAAGTACTACAAAGTACTACAATGTACTACAAACTACTACAAAGTACTACAAAGTACTACGATGTACTACAAACTACTACAAAGTACTACAAAGTACTACAATGTACTACAAACTACTACAAACTACTACAAAGTACTACAAAGTACTACAATGTACTACAAACTACTACAAAGTACTACAAAGTACTACAATGTACTACAAACTACTACAAACTACTACAAAGTACTAC